CCTGTTCTATACTCTTTTACATGTCATTTCCATGTCCAAAGCTTTGCCCAGTTCTCTTCACTTTTAGTATCAACATGATAACCTAAGTTACCATTGTCTTTTCCTGACCCTGAGATTACATAAATAATTAATATTAGGCAAAATAGACTTTAAAACAGTTTCTAGATATAAATAGGGATATTTTACAATGATAAAAGCATCAATCCTCTGTCAAGAGGATATAACAATATAAACAATATCTGTACCTAACGACAGAGTGCCAAAATAAATGAAACAGAGCTGTCAGAATTAAGGGCAAAAAGAAATAATTCAACAACAGTAGTTGGAGATCCCATTACCCTTCTTACAACAATGGATATAAAAAACTAGGCAGATGATCAACAAGAATATAGAAGACTTGAACAACACTGTAAACCAACTAGGCCTAATACCATTTATAAAATACCCTACTACCAATGGCAGAATATACATACTTCTCAGGTACACGTGGGACATTCTCCAGGATAGACCATAATCCGGGTCATTAAACCAGCTTCAATAAACATGAAAGGATTGAAATTATACAAAGCCATTGACAGAAGAAATTTGGGAAATTCACAAATACATGGCAATTAAACAACATACTACTAAATAACCAATTGGCCAAAGAAGAAATCATACAGAAAATTAGAAGATACTTTGAGGTGAATGAAAGCAAAAATATAACATACCAAAAATGTAATGCAGGTGAGGCAGTGCTTAGAAGGAAATTTATAGCTGTAAATGCCTGTATACAAAGAGAAAAAAAGACTTGGAATAAATGTCTTAACTTTTCAGGTTAAGACATTGGAAAATAAGAGAAAACTAAACTTAATGTAAGCAAAATGAAGGATATAATAAATATTGGAGTAGAAATCAATGAAATAGAGAATAGAAAAGCCATAAAGAAAATCAATGAAACCAAATGCTTGCTCTTTGAAGAGATCACGAAAACTGACAAACCTTTACCTAGAATCACCTAAGAAAGGGGAGAACACTCAAATAACTAGAATCAGAAATGACAATAGGAGCATCACTACTGACCTTACAAAAATAAAAAAAGCTTATGAAGGAGCATTATGAACACTTGTATCAATAAATTAAATAACTCAGCTGAATGGACAAGTGCCTGGAAATACACAAACTACCTACCTGACTCAAGAAGAAAGAGACAATATAAGTAGACCTCTAACAAGTAAGTAGAGATTGATTTAGGAATCAAAAACCTCCCAGAAAAGCCCAGGCACAGATAATATCAGTCCTGAATTCTACCCAACACATAAAGAATATCATTAATTCACAAACTATTCCAAAAAATAGAAAAAATATAGAATAATGTTTTAAGGAAAACATTCCATCTACAATAGCATCACAAAGGGAAATATTTAGCAATAAAATTAACAAAAGAAGTGCAAAACTCATACTGTAAATACTGTAAGACATGTTGAGAGAAATTTTAGAAGGTTGAAAGACAACCCATGTTCAGTCTGTTATTTCCTCAAAAGGTTAAACATAGAGCTACGACATATATGAACCAGCAATTCCACCCCCAGGTATATACCCCAAAGAATTGATAACACATATACGGGAACTTTTACATAAACGTTTATAGCAGCATTATTCATAGTAACCCCAAAGTGGAAAAAACCAAGTGCCCATCAGTTGAGCTAAACAATTGATGAATTGCTAAACGAAGTATGACATATCCATAGAATGGAATATCATGTGGCAATAAAAAAATGAAGCATTGATATATGCTATAAGATAGATGAACCTTGAAAACATCATCTAAGTGAAAGAAGCCAGACACAAAAGACCACATATTGAGTGATTCATTCATTTATATGAAATGTCCAGAATGGGAGAATTTCTGGAGACAGCAGATTAGTGCTTACCAGGGGCTATCACTTACTTCAGTACTCGCTTCCATTATATTCTATTACCCAGATGGTCAGCTCATTGGTTTACAGTGTGGCCTCTCATGTCAGAATGCTTGTGTCCAAATCCTGGCCACTCCTTTTATTATTAAGGAGGGATTTTTGGCAAGTCACTCAACCCTCTGAGCCTCACAAAATAGGTTTCAATCATGTTAGAAAAAAAAGAAAGTGGTAGCTAGGCATGATTTTTTCAAGTGGGGTCAAGTTCAATTTTATAAAAAATTTCCCCCAAATTGCAGAATATATCTCATAGGACTGTATAAGGATTGAATGGAGACTACACTGAAACACCATAATGACACAATAAGTGGTAGTTATTGTTATTAATGTTCAATAAATTAATTTCCTAAATGAACAATTTTTCAAATCTAAAATATTTGTATCAATAAAATCTTTAGTGACGAAACTTTTTTTCCCCCAATTTTTTGATTTGGTGGTTAAGTTCTGAACTACCTACCAGTTCTTACTTATATAAAATATTTAAAAAGAAGTGTTAGCATTTCCAGTTTTACGGGTTAAAAGAAGGCTTAGCTTTTGTTTATGTTTTCCTTTTCTGGTCTTGGACTTGCTCTTTCCTGCTG